CTCTGTCACATTCAGGCACACTTACCAAATATAGATTACATCTTTTCACATAATCCCCTATTTCTTGGACGCTTTGTTCATTTCTTTTCACTTTTTTTTCTCTCTAATATTGCCTTCTCATATTATTTCAACAGTTTCTATATCTTTTCTTCTGCTTGGTCGATCCAGCTTTTAAAACTTGTGTATGCTTCCCAAAGTTCTCATGTTGTGTTGTTCGGCTCCATTAAGTCATTTATATTCTTCTCTAAGCTGTTTATTCTCGTTAGTATTTCGTCAAACCTTTTTTCAAGGTTCTTAGTTTCTTTGCATTGGGTTAGAACATGTTCTTTTAGCTCAGAGAAGTTTGTTATTACCCACCTTCTGAAGCCTGTTTCTATCAGTTCATCAGACTCACTCTCAATCCAGCTTTGTTCCTTTGCAGGTGATGAGTTGTGATCCCTTGGAGGAGGAGAGGTGTTCTGATTTTGGGTGTTTTCATCCTTTTTGTGCTGGTTTCTTCCCATCTTTGTGGATTTATCTACCTGTGGTCTTTGGTGACTTTTGGATGGGGTCTCTGAATGGATGTCCTTTTTGCTGATGATGAAGTTCTTTCCGTTTTTTAGTTTTCCTTCTAATAGGCCGCTCTGGTGTAGGACTGCTGGAGATGAACTCCAGATCCTGCTTGCCTGGGGATCACCTGTGGCAGCTGCAGAACAGTAAGGGTTGCTGCCAGTTTCTTCTTCTGTTAACTTCATCCCAGAAGGATACCTGCCAGATATCAGCTTGAGCTCTCCTTTATGAGGTGACTCTTTGGATATACAGGAGTCAGGGAGCTGCTTGAGGAGATAGTCTGTCCCTTATAGGAACTCAAGTGCTGAGTTGTCAGCTCTGTTGTTCTGTTCAGAACTGCTGGGAAGGTACATTTAAGTCTGTTGCAGTAGAACTTATAACCACCTGTTTTCCCAGGTACTCTGTCCTGGGAAGGTGGGGCTTTATTTATAAGTTCCTGACGTGCTGCTGCGTTTATTCAGAGCTGCCCTGCCCAGCAAGGAGGTAGCCTTGTCACAGTCTGCCAGCAGAGGCGTTGCTGAGTTGCTGTGGGCTCTGCCCAGCTGCTGTGTGAACTTTCTTTGGTTTTGTTTATAGAGGTATTATTAGAACTGCCTTGGTAATGGTGGTCTTACTCAGTGATGGAAGACTGCCTCGGTAGTGTCGGACTGCCTCAGTAATGGCGGATGCCCTTCCCCCAACAGAGCTGGACCTACCTGGGTCCAGCTGTACTTGCTGTAAATCTCTCAATTCAGGGCGTTTCAGATTGCTGGTCTTTGTTGGGGTGGGACCCACCAAGCCAGATCACATGGCTCCCTGTTTCAGCCTTCTTTTGTTCAGTTGAGTGGGTGGCTCTGTCTCCCAGGTGCTCCAGGCGGCAGTTTCAACTGCCGCCTGGATTTCTGTGAGTTTTTGTGTGGAGACCCACTGCACCAGCTGAAACAGCCATGCTGGAAACTCTTAGCGCTTTTCAGCCCGGGAATCTCCTGGTCTGTGGGCAATAATAACTCGTTTGGAAATTCAGTGTTCACTCACCCTCTATGTTGTTTTCACTGGGAACTGCACTCCAGAGCTGTTCCTATTTGGCCATCTTGGATCTGCCTCTGAAAATGTACACATTTTTAATGTCTTACTATTGGAGTTCCTTCAAAATACTTAGCTTTAAATCATTTATATTGTATACTAATTTGGTTCAGCTAGTTTAAGCATTTATAAGACCTATTAACCTTTTAATATTTTAAAGTTTCCCTCAAAACCTAAAATGCAATTAAATAAAAAAAACTGCTGTATTATAACCCAAGGAGCTTTTATCCTTTATGATCTCAGAAAACTCCCCCTTGATTTAATTGTCTTTTGTATTTCTGGAAGGCCCTATTCTATTTTTCATTCTAGGATTGTCTTGTTCATTACTATATAATCTATTCCTGACCAAAAAACTCAGATCAGTTTATATTGAAGACTTTCTAACGTGAGAAGAAGTTAAAGTTAAGAAAATTGATGTTATTTTCAAAAAATTGTATGTTACTGAAATCTGAACAAATAAATGAGGCAGTAATTTATGAAAAAAAAATTTTAAAGTTACTTAAATTATGGAAATTAATCATTTTGTTTCTCCCCTAATCCCCACGTTGATCAACATTTTGTTTCTTGATGCTGTTTATGGAGAATCCTGAATTAAGCTTTTGGTTGATTATATTTGTTGTCACTTTTTAAAAATCTGTTAATTTTTTCCAGTTTTTGAAGTGCTGTTAGGCCTAAGTGCTTTTCTTTTTCTTTTTCTTTTTTTTTTTTTTGAGACAGAGTTTCGCTCTTGTTACCCAGGCTGGCGGGCAATGGCGCAATCTCGGCTCACCGCAACCTCCGCCTTCTGAGTTCAAGCAATTCTCCTGCCTCAGCCTCCTGAGTAGCTGGGACTACAGGCGCGCACCACCATGCCCAGCTAATTTTTGTATTTTTAGTAGAGACGGGGTTTCACCATGTTGACCAGGATGGTCTCGATCTCTTGACCTCGTGATCCACCCGCCTCGGCCTCCCAAAGTGCTGGGATTACATGCGTGAGCCACTGCACCTGGCCGCTTATGTGTGAATTTTTAACAAATTTAGGAACATACAGCATTCATGCAAGTCAAATATTTCAGTGAACGAGTTTCAGTGGTTCAACTTTATGATAATTATAAATCTTAAAATTTTCTGGAAAAAGTGACATCATAAACAGCATTTTCGCTGTTCTTAGAATTTACTGCAAATCAACAGCAAAAATAAACAGAAATAGAAGTTATTTTGGATGAAATTAGGAGATATCCTTAACATCAAATCACTTTGAGGAACTATTCTTAAATGCAGTGGGTTTCAAGTAATGTTGTGGCAAGATACCTGTGGAAAGCTTCCATGTATACAAATCTCAAAGATGCAGTGTACATTTCTCCAAAGTTAGTGGAAGAGATTCAGGGAAGAAGGAAACTTGAATGTTGCTCCTTTTTTCTTTGACAAGTAACTATACAGTGTATCTGTTCCTTTAAAATAAGGTGGATATTGGTTACAGGTAACATTTGGGCTGTTTTGGCATCTTAGCAAAGATGATAACTACTAGGTGTTTATTTTGGGTTGGATAGGTACTTGTTGATTTGCATTGAAGATCCTAGAGGAATGTGGTGGATTTTTTTTGTTTGTTTGTTTTAGGTAGAGTCTAACTCTGTCCCCTAGGCTGGAGTACAGTGTGCAGTCCTGGCTCACTGAAACCACGGTCTCTTGCACTCAAGCGATCCTCTCACCTTGGCCTCCCAAACTGCTGGAACCAGAGGCGTAAGCCACCATGCCTGGTCGAAGTGGTGGATCTTGAAGAAAACTTGGTTTGCTGAGGTCTAAGAACTCTGGTGGGGAAGTGGAGGAAGACAGGGAATGGGAAGGGGAAAGTTAACATGTATCTTACCTGAATATGCCTAGTTTCTTTCATTGTATAAGTTGAAAGATGGAATTGAGTGGGCTAGGTGTTCCCTGTCTTTGAGTCTGGGAGAACTTGAGAAAACTGGGGAGTAGATGTCTCAGAGAACAGTGGTTTACTTCTACATTGTGGATCTGTGGAGGGACAGATGGCTTTGCTTTCTGCCAGTTTTAGAGTCGCTACTGAACCTGAGCCCCAAAGAATTGACCATAATGACATACATAAACACATGCCTGCATACATATATAAACATCTTTAAAGGACCTTGATACCTAGAGAGACAATTACTTGAAAGAAACAAAGCACATGCCAAGCCAAATTAAGCTGTTAAAGGAATGAACATTTGCAGGGAATAAAATGAGCTCTTATGGAAAATCAAGTGTAGCACAAAGAATCATTCTTGGGCTGAAAAACATGATTTTTTTAAACTGAATTCTGTAAGTTAATCACAATAGGGGATTGTTATCATTAAGTCCCAAATTAGATGCCTGAAAGAATGGATTCCCAAAGCAAAAATATAAAAAATGGAAATCATAAGAGAAAATAATCAAGCTAGAAGGCTTTAGCATCCTCATGTATAATAAATAGGAATCCTAGAAAGGGAGAATGAAACATAGAAAGGAGGGGTAAAACACTAAATCATTAAGAAATTATTAAATAATAATATAGGAAAATAAAACAAATATAGGAAATACATTTAATAAATATAGGAAAATATTTCTGACCTGAAAAACAAATTTAAGTCTTCAAATTGAAAGTGCTCACTGAGTTCTAGGTGGGATTGCGGGGAAAAAAATAACATAGAAGCAACTTTTTTTTATAAAGTGAAAAACTTAAACAGTCTTCCAGTCAACAGAACACATCAAAGAAGGAAAAGGATCAGATTTTTCATCTGCAACACCAGAAACATTAATAAGATAGTGGAGTAACATCTTCATACAACTAAAATTACCCATGCTTCTGTACTTGGTCAAGATACCATTTATCTGTTAGGTGAAAGAAAGATGCAGATAGGCAGGAATGCAGAGATGATATGCCCATGTGCTCATCTGAGGAAAATACAGTCATGTGATGCTTAATAATGGGGAATTGTACTGAGAGATGTGTAGTTAGGTGATTTTGTTGTTGTGCAAACATCAGAGAGTACACTTACACAAACGTAGATGTTACAGGTTCAGTATCCTTTATTGGAAATGTTGGGGTCAGAAGTGTTTTGGGTTTTAGATTTTTTTGGATTTTGGAATATTTGTATATATGTATTGATGTCTTGGGGATGGACCCAAGTCTAAACATGAAATTCATTTATATTTCATATACTTTTTTTTTTTTGAGACCGAGTCTCACTCTGTCGCCCAGGCTGAAGTGCAGTGATGTGATCTCGACTCACTGCAACTTTCGCCTCCTGGGTTCAAGCAATTCTCCTGCCTCAGTCTCCTGAGTAGCTGAGACTAAAGGCATTTGCTGCTAGGCCCAGCTAATTTTTTTTCTTTTAGTAGAGATGAGGTTTCACCATGTTGCCCAGGCTGGTCTCAAAAATATGGAACGCTTCACAGATTTGCTTGACATGCTTGCTCAGGGGCCATGCTAATCTTCTCCATATCGTTCCAATTTTAGTATATGTGCTGCCAAAGCGAGTACTCATATACATCTTATACATATACCCTGCAGGTAATTTTATGCAATATTTATTTATTAAACAAATTTTTTTAAAGGCAGAGTCTCACTCTGTTGCTGAGGCTGGAGTGCAGGTACAATCATAGCTCACTGTAGCCTCAAATTCCTGGGCTCAAGTGATCTGCCTCACCTTGCCTGGTGACTGGGACTATAGGCGTGTGTTACTGTCCCTGGCTCACTTCTAAATTTATTGTAACAAGGTCTCACTATGTTGCCCAGGCTGGTATTGAACTCCCAGCCTCAAGTGATCCTCCCACCTTGGACTCCCAAAGTGCTAGGATTACAGACATGAGCCACTATACCACCAATTTTATAAAATATTTTTAATACTTTTGTGCACCTGTCACAAGAGGTCAGGTGTGGAATTTCCCACTTGTGGCATTATGTTGGTGCTCAAAAAATTTCATATTTTGGAGCATTTTGGATTTTGAATTTTCAGATTAGGGATGCTTAAACTATACTTAGGCTGTATGATATAACCTGTTATTGCTAAGCTCCAAACCTGTACAACATGTTATTGTAGTGAATAGTGTAGACAGTTGTGGTACAGTGGTATTTATGTGTCTAAATCTTATCTAAACATAGAAAGGTACAATAAATGATGCACCTATACAGGGCACTTACCTGGAATGGAGCACTTGCAGGACTGGAAGTTGGGGTGAATAAGTGAGTGAGTGGTAAGTGAATGTGAAGGCCCAGCTTATTACTGTACACTACTTTATGGACTTTATAAGCATGTATACTGAGAATACACACCAATGTATAAAATAATTCTTTTTTTTTTAAGATGTAGTTTTGCTCTTGTTACCCAGACTGGAGTGCAATGGTGCGATCTCGGCTCACTGCAACCTCCGCCTCCTGGGTTCAGGCAATTCTCCTGCCTCAGCCTCCTGAGTAGCTGGGATTACAGGCACACACCACCATGCCCAGCTAATTTTTTATATTTTTAGTAGAGATGGGGTTTCACCTTGTTGACCAGGATAGTCTCGATCTCTTGACCTCGTGATCCACCCACCTCGGCCTCCCAAAGTGCTGGGATTACAGGCTTGAGCCACCGCGCCCGGCCCACAAAATAATTCTTTAATAATAAATTAACATTAGCTTACCATAACTTAAAAAAACTTACATTTTTAAAAACTTTTTGACTCTTGTAATAACACTTAGCGTAAAAAAGATACACATTGTACAGCTGTACAAAGATATTTGTTTCTTTATATCCTTGTTCTATAAGTTTTTTTCTATTTTTAAATTGTTTTTACTTTTTAAAACTTTTTTGTTAAACACTAAGACACAAACACACATTGACCTAGCTTTACACAAGGTCAGTATCATCAAGATGTCTCCGGCTAAGAAGAATTTTTCAGCTCCATTATAATCTTGTTTTTTTGTTTAAAGATAGAGCCTTGCTGCGTTGTTCAGGTTGGAGTGAGGGTGGCTATTCACAGGCACCATCATAATGCACTGCCATCTCGAACTCCTGGGCTCAGGTGATCTTCACACCTCAGCCTCCCAAATCGCTGGGACTGTAGGAGCATGTCACTGTGCTTGGCCCCCATCGTAGTCTTACAGGATTATTGTCCTGTGTGCAGTCTGTTGTTAACCGAAACATTATGCAATGCATGGCTTTTTCTAATTCAAGAAGGTAGGGGAAAAGAACAAAATACACTTCAAAACACAAAAGCATACAGATGTCATACTTAGCTGTGAAGGCCTGATTACTTTCTTCCTAAGACAATAAAAAGGTGAGAATATCTACTTTCACTTTCTGCTACAGAATATGCCGGAATTGTTATATGCACGGGTACAATAAGGCAAGAAAAAGAAATAAAAGACTAATGGTTTGGAAAGAAAAAAGAAAAAGTGTCCCTAATTACAGAAGCATTACTATTTATATAGAAAGTTTTAAGGAATCTCCAAAACAAACAAAAACCCTTCTAGAGTACCTATATGATAGAATAATGACCTCTGCCTCACCCAAGGGACATGCAGATTTTAACTCCCAGAATCTGAATTATGTACTTCTAAAAAACAAAAGAGACTTTGCTGATGTGATTAATTAAGTTAAGGATCTTTAGATGGGAATACTATTATGGATTATCAAGGTGAGACCAATATAATCTTGAGGATCCTTATAAGAGAGAAATAAGACAGTTAAAGAGATGCTGGAAGCAGAGATTAAAATCATGTGCTTTGAAGATGGAGGAAGGATCCACAAACCAAGTAATGTAGGCTGCCTTTTAGAAGCTAGAAAAGACAAGGAAGGAAGTAGATTTTTCCTGGATCTCTGCAAAAAATGCAGTATTTCCTACACCTTGATTCTAGTTCTTAAGACTTCTTTTGGACTTACAACCTTCAGAACTGTATGAGAATAAATACATGTTATTTTAAGCCACTAAATTTGTGATAGTATGTTAGAGTGGCAATAGAAAACCAATACAGTATGCTTGATTAAAACCTGGACAGTAAGCCAAAGTTACAGATTGGTTGCCTAGAGCAATAGGGGTATTTGAAATGCTTTAAAATTTTTGAAATTGTTTCCAACATGCCAAGTAAGGTTATATCACAACCTGGATTTTTTAGTTCCTTGAAAAAAAGCAGATCAAGCAACTTTCCTGGGAGTGCAAAATATTAGAGCTGAGTGCTGCCGTTTTTTATGACATTGTATTTCAGTAAGTTACCTAGTACTTAATTTGCCTGAATATTAAATGCACAAAATGTTTATAAAATGAGGCTCTGATTGAAGGGGAAAATATAGGAAGGCCAAAGGTTGGCTTTAGAAAGTTATATCAATTCTCAGTTTCTTTTTTTTTTTTTTTTTTAATTTTTTATTGGATTTTAGGTTTTGGGGTACATGAGCAGAGCATGCAAGACAGTTGCGTAGGTACACACGTGGCAGTGTGCTTTGCTTTCCTTCTCCCCTTCACCCACATTTGGCATTTCTCCCCAGGCTATCCCTCCCCACCTCCCCCTCCCACTGGCCCTCCCCTTTTTCCCCCAATAGACCCCAGTGTTTAGTACTTCCCTTTCTGTGTCCATGTGTTCTCATTTTTCATCACCCGCCTATAAGTGAGAATATGCGGTGTTTCATTTTCTGTTCTTGTGTCAGTTTGCTGAGGATGATGTTCTCCAGATTCATCCATGTCCCTACAAATGACACAAACTCATCATTTCTGATTGCTGCATAATATTCCATGGTGTATATGTGCCACATTTTTCCAATCCAGTCTATTATCAATGGGCATTTGGGTTGATTCCAGGTCTTTGCTATTGTAAACAGTGCTGCAATGAACATTCGTGTGCGTGTGTCCTTATAGTAGAATGATTTATAGTCCTTTCGATATATACCCAGTAATGGGATTGCTCGGTCAAATGGAATTTCTATTTCTAAGGCCTTGAGGAATCGCCACACTGTCTTCCACAATGGTTGAACTAATTTACACTCCCACCAACAGTGTAAAAGTGTTCCTTTTTCTCCACATCCTCTCCAGCATCTGTTGTCTCCAGATTTTTTAATGATCGCCATTCTAACTGGCATGAGATGGTATCTCAATGTGGTTTTGATTTGCATCTCTCTGATGGCCAGTGACAATGAGCATTTTTTCATATGATTGTTGGCCTCATATATGTCTTCTTTCGAAAAGTGTCTGTTCATATCCTTTGCCCACTTTTGAATGGGCTTGTTTGTTTTTTTTCTGTAAATCTGTTTGAGTTCTTTGTAAATTCTGGATATCAGCCCTTTGTCAGATGGGTAAACTGCAAAAATTTTTTCCCATTCTGTTGGTTGTCGATTCACTCTAGTGACTGTTTCTTTTGCCGTGCAGAATCTGTGGAGTTTCATTAGGTCCCATTTGTCTATTTTGGCTTTTGTTGCCAATGCTTTTGGTGTTTTGTTCATGAAGTCCTTGCCTACTCCTATGTCCTGGATGGTTTTGCCTAGATTTCCTTCTAGGGTTTTTATGGTGCCAGGTCTTATGTTTAAGTCTTTAATCCATCTGGAGTTAATTTTAGTGTAAGGTGTCAGGAAGGGGTCCAGTTTCTGCTTTCTGCACCTGGCTAGCCAGTTTTCCCAACACCATTTGTTAAACGTGGAATCCTTTCCCCATTGCTTGTTTTTGTCAGGTTTATCAAAGATTGTATAGTTGTAGATATGTTGTGTTGCCTCCGGTACCTCTGTTCTGTTCCATTGGTCTATATCTCTGTTTTGGTACCAGTACCATGCTGTTTTGATTACTGTAGCCTTGTAGTATAGTTTGAAATCCGGTAGTGTGATGCTCCCCGCTGTGTTCTTTTTGCTTAGAATTGACTTGGCTATGCGGGCTCTCTTTTGGTTCCATATGAAGTTCATGGTGGTTTTTTCCAGTTCTGTGAAGAAAGTCAATGGTAGCTTGATGGGGATAGCATTGATTCTGTAAATTACTTTGGGCAGTATAGCCATTTTCACGATATTAATTCTTCCTAACCATGAACATGGAATGTTTCTCCATCTGTTTATGTCCTCTCTGATTTCGTTGAGCAGTGGTTTGTAGTTTTCCTTGAAGAGGTCCCTTACGTTCCTTGTGAGTTGTATTCCAAGGTATTTTATTCTTTTTGTAGCAATTGTGAATGGCAGTTCGTTCTTGATTTGGCTTTCTTTAAGTCTGTTATTGGTGTAGACGAATGCTTGTGATTTTTGCACATTGATTTTATATCCTGAGACTTTGCTGCAGTTGCTTATCAGTTTCAGGAGTTTTTGGGCTGAGGCGATGGAGTCTTCTAGGTATACTATCATGTCGTCTGCAAATAGAGACAATTTGGCTTCCACCTTTCCTATTTGAATACCCTTTATTTCTTTTTCTTGCCTGATTGCTCTGGCTAGAACTTCCAGTACTATATTGAATAGGAGTGGTGAGAGAGGGCATCCTTGTCTAGTGCTGGATTTGAAAGGGAATGCTTCCAGTTTTTGCCCATTCAGTATGATATTGGCT